GGTATTTTACATGCCTTAGGATGTCTTAACTTTGTCAATTAGTGGTTTAAAGTCTAATTGGATACATATATGTGTGATTATATGTTAACTAGGATCATTGAGTGTGAACAAGTCTTCACTTGTCACCTAACAATCCTACATCATTCAGTTCATCCAAACCACCATCTACAGGTGAGTTCATACCCCTTAATCAATGTTTTAAATGATTTTAAATGATTTAATGGGGGGAATACAAGTAGAAAATAGCATGTTATTAAATCACTCATATGTATTTTATAACTGTGTTTCCATCCAGCAGATTTCACATACTATAAGATGTGATGCATGAAATGGTTTTCTATCTTAAAAATATTTTTTTGTTATCAAATGTATTACTTTTGAAATGTTTATTTAAAATGACATCAAGTCACTCTTTATTATTGTTCAAAACTCTTAAATGTCTTACAAAACCATTTTTACTTCTTGAATAAAACTATACTTATACACGTATGTTCTTATATATGTATTGAGGTTATAGTTTTCATACTTCATTTAGTTTCCCACACTCTTGTGTAGAAATGGTGTATTAACCAACTTGAACAATCAATTACCTTCAAATTAATTATCATAGGGATAGTTAGAAGATACAAAACTTTAATCCTATTACAAGGAATCATACAAGAGTCAGTTCATTCGCGAGTCTATACCAGTACATTACATGATACACAAGTACATTTACATATGCTTACATGATACATGAGTACGTTTACATATGCTTACATGATACATGAATACCTTACATGAATAACTTACATGAATACTTTACATGAATACTTGTATCTCGATTCACGAGGACGATTTATTAGTACCTTCTGTGTAAATTGTCCTGGTTATCCCAGTTCAACGAGATATCTAGACGGGACTAACCATTCCGAATCCCAGCTGATTAGCACCAGTGGTTGATAAACATCTATGGATGCCTACGGTTATTACTTATACTAGGAGTACCTTTACGGGACTAACCATTCCTTGGGCCTACTGTTCGCTACAGAGGTTGATGAACCTCTACGGATGCCTACGGTTAATACTTATATTAGGATTCGTTTACGGGACTAACCATTCCTCCACCCTGCTGCTGCTACAGAGGACAATTGAACAATCTTTGGATGTTCATTAGGTTATACATTTCGCTTTACGCGATGGCATGTTAGCCCTAGTACCTCGGGATAACACTTACATTAGTACATTTTCCTATTTATTTTATTTTGTGATAAATTCACATAAACGAAGATTTAGACTAAGTAATCTTAGTACTAGTCAATGGAAAGGAAAAACTATCATTTTACTTACAAAACATTTGGGTCTTGGCAAGAGACTACATCTCATACTAATAGGAAATAAGGGATTTTCTAGGGTTTTCATACTTATATCAACTGTTCCATTCAAAGATTTACATAGCATACATAACAAATTTCCAAAACAAGACAATGACATTTAAATACTTATGATTTCACCAGCTTTAGGCTGATACTCGCTTTCAAAATAACTTGTATTCTCAGGTCACCAGTAGACAGGTACGATGGCTAGATTTTGAGAAGACGGAGCACAGACAAGACTCGTCTTTTATTTTGATTGTATATTTTGGTGTCTTATTACAATGAAAGAACACATATGTATTAAAACTTTACTTTTAATGCAATGGATGATGTTGTTGCTTGTTTACTACTTTACACTGTTGTGATACTGTACATGACGTCCTCCACCCCGGAACGTTTCCGCCGTTCTTGGTTTTGGGTTGTGACAGTCCTACTTGACCACATGTAGAACACTCTTTTCTAATTGTACCCTTGCCTTGGGATGGAATGCGGTCTGTGTTTCTTGGGTTGCCCGGCTGACTTTTTCCATTATAGGTGGCTTAACAATCATTAAATCATCGGGGATCTCCCATTCGGATGGCTGTGGCAGAGGGTTTATTGATTCCTCATATGTTTTCCTCAGTGTTTCGGTAAAGTAAGAATTTAATGCATACCTCGAGTAGTCTTGGTAATTGCTCACTGTTAAACATCTTATGACATGACTACAAGGTATCCCATCAAGTTGCCAATGCCTACATGTACATGTCATTTGTTGGAAATCAACTATCACGTTTTGTGCCCCCTTTTTGACCTCACATTTCATATTTGAGATCATGCGAATATCGCACTTACTAAATGATTTTTTGTTTTCTTTAACAATTTCATCGGCCTAAGGGGTAAGTGTTGTTATTGTTTCTGCTTAAATAAGACACAAAATAAAGAAGTTAAGATCAATAAGATTTATTAAAACATTAATATTTAAAATTAACTTAATACCTGCAAAGTTACGTCTTTGAAACCACTACTGTTGCATTGTTGCACGAAAAAAATTGATCAACATAAGTATCAGCACCTTACGTGCATGTCTAGATAATGCATTTATAGACTCCGCACTATTGGACGACATTAGATTGTATCGGTTCCCTCTAAAATGTGCCATAGACCAAGTTTCTGGATTTATACTTTTTAAGTACTCCCATACTGGTTCTTTTGTCTTTTCATAACATCCATGACAGCGTTAAAAGCATCAATTGTGTACGCCCTACAAGCCTCCCAAAAAATTCCTTTAACTGTGTTACTCTTCCCGAATCTAGATACTATGTTGAAATACAAATGGACACCACATATTCCATGATGAGCGTGAGGAAAAATGTTGGCAACGGATGTTGCTATAGATGGAGACCTATCAGATATAATTGTAAACTCTTGCATACTACCTATGCAATCATGTAGTTTTTTAAAAAACCATGTCCAAGAATCTGTACATTCATTTTTGCAGATGCCATATGCAACCGGTAATATTTGGTTTTGTTCGTCCTTGGTAACTGCAAGTAACATGGTTCCTTTGAACTCGCCCTTTAGGTGGGCTCCATCTACTATAAGGGTCGGTTTACAGAATTTAACAAAAGCGCGTACCTACAATACATTGTATATTTATTCAAATACACTAAAAAATGGAAAAAAAATAATAAAGTATTTAAATACTAACCGAACAACCAAGTGTGTCGTACATAAACTTAAAGCAATCACCATCATCTGTTTTAATATGTGTCACCGTACCCGGATTATGTTTGACCAAGTTGTGGAAATAAGCCGGGAGTTTGGTAAAAGAATCCTCTTTCGTACCCCTTAACGACAACAATGCATATTGCTTCACACGCCATGCCTAATGGTATGAGATATTAATATTCAATTGAGCATTCATATCATTAACAACATTTTTTCCTCGATAAACTCTACTATAATCTTCAGCCAAAACATTAGCAAGATATTCACCCAAAACATATTTGTTTGCTTGTCGATGATTAGGTTGCAAAATTGTTGAATAACATGTGTGTACATCAACAAATTTATTCACTTGGAAAAGTCCATCAGAATTTTTAATTGCTTTTGCTCTTAGTAACCAAGAACAATTTTTCGAAATACACACAACCTCATACCTTGATTTGGTGGATCTACTTGTCCTCATCTGAAAACCTTCTCGAAGACATTTTTTTTTATCAATACACCACTTTAAAAGGTCTTTTTTTCTTAAATATACTCTCACATTCAATCTTTTGAAGATTGATGTCTACCATTTGTGATGGGATATCTTCATTAATATCAACTGAACATTCTGGTAGATGGGGCATACCATAAAAAAGGTTATCGAAAAACTTAGCTTTAACTTCATCACCCAACTCATCTCCATCTGAATTGTTTTTTAAGTCGGTTATATCTAAACCTAAATCAGCAACATCAACATAATCCCTATAAACATGTTTTTTTTTCATCTTTTTTACGCTTAGTTTTTTTCTTTTTTACTTTTATCTACTACACGCCTATTCATAACAACTTCTTGTTCGGGAACATCAACACAACAACCACTCACGCCATTAAAATATGTACCAACATCATCATCACCAACATACTTGTAATTCTCAGGATCCACATAGTTAATAGGTGAATAACTAACATTAATATTTCCAGCAACACTATGAAATTGAGGTACACTAGGAGTATTGAAAGTACCTATCGAATCGTTGCTCCCTTTATAACTGCATAGATTACTAACCTCATTAACCTCATCAACACTATGAAATTGACCAGCCTTATTAACCTCATCTCCTTCATCAACCACCACAAACACTTTCACAACCCTTCCTCTGCTACATTTGATTATGTTTATCAACATTCTAACATTCATATCTTCAACTATAGCTATATAATAGTTCAATTCAGGATGATGGAAACGAAGACTAATTCTATATTTGTCTAACAAACCAAATTTACTTCTCACCAAAGATACAAATTCACTATAACTAATATACTTAGAAAATATGAACGTGAATTCAGAAATACCTGTGGACATATGTATTTTAGATTTGAGTGTTTGGTTACTTGCCATCTCCCACCGGTTACAAGACAAACCAGATATTCAATTATTTTTTTTAGAGAGATTGTAAAGAAATTTCCCAAAGAAATACCAACTAAATTGATACTTTTCTACAAAAGTTTATATATAGTAAGGTTATTTCGTAGTCAAACCAATTGATTTCATAGTCAAAATTGGAAAAAAAAAATCCATAATTTCACAGATGAACTGGAGAGGAAATCGCAGATAGACACAATCCATCTGTGATTTTAGCTTGCTTAAACCCTATATATACACAAAAAAAAAAAATTGAAAAAAAAAATTATCTACGAATATATAAGTGCCTAAAACACAAGACACTTGTATATTCGCAGATGGAAAGCCAAAATCGCAGATATGGCTATTCCGTCTGCGAAATAAGTGGTTATTTTTGCAATTCGATTTTTTTTTAGCTAAATTTGTAATGTCTTTATGTATATGGTTAATTTTGTCATTTTCCAAAAGAAAAAAAAAAACAAATCATGTTAATATCATGTCCTTTGTTTTTTGTCAAAATAGTTCTCGAGTTTTAGTAACATGTGTTTTGTTTTTGTCAAAATTGTTCTCAAAGTTTAATTGGACCGTCATCCAATCAACCTGGAAGAAAACGCGGGTGTTCTAAAATCTGACCCTGACCCACCGCCCACGCACCATTTCTGGATAATCGGAGTTAAAAGTTAAAACCACACAACGGAGTTAGTGGAGTTGTGCGTGTATTTCTTGTAACCTAAAACTATAGAAAAGGTCAACTCCCTCTCTCTCATTTTCAAAATATCCAATCACTTCAACTGTAATTTTATATTTTCATTCCATTTCGCTTACACAATCCACTAGGATCTACCTAATCGACGATCTAACACAAATCAATTTTTAATAAAGCCAGATCCGTAGTCTAGCACAGTACAAGCGAAGTGGCAAAATATCTTCAGTTGTGTTTTGCTTTTCTGAATCTGATGCAATTTTGAAAAACCAAGCAGCGGTTTCGTTGAAGCAGTAGCGATGGAGAGCTATTTGAATGATAATTTCGAGGTCAAGCCGAAGAACTCATCGGAGGAAGCGTTACAGAGATGGAGGAAATTGTGTTGGGTGGTGAAGAATCGGAAACGACGTTTTCGTTTCACTGCTAATCTGTCCAAACGTTTCGAAGCTCGTGCTATTCAACGATCCAATCTGGTTCATACTCTTTCTCTTTCGCATCTGTTTTATTTTCGTTACCTATGTTCTGCGTTTGCTATTTAGCCTTCTTGTGTTGAGCTTAAAGTGAATCTAGCGAACTGTTGATTTGTGGTTGGTTGGTTAATCGAGTTAACTGGAAGGTTTTAACCATTAGGAGACGCATCAGGATTTTTCGGTTTCTATCAGTGATACAAACCAAGGCTTTTTCTACCACGGCAACGAAATAAATTCATGACTTATGTTAACTAAACTGTGAAGGTTGGATACAGCTCTCTGATATGATAATCAAAAGGGAAATACACCGCTGTTTACAGCCACGATGTTGAAAGAACAAACCTTCTTTTGAGCCATTTCATACTAGTAATTACTACATACAAGCATCATTTTCTTAAATAAATTTCCTGTTTGAGGCTTATGTTGATTTGAGTGCATCTAGAGCAAGATCGAACTTATTGAATTACCTTAAAAACATGGTACCTTTAGGTTGTTTGGCTATATCCTATATGATCACCAGACCAATTTGTTTCTGAAAATATTGATAACATATGCATCTATCTTATTAAGCTTGAGATCTGAGGAGCTCAATCATCTTGTGGCTTCCATGTTATATAGCTCTGTTTGATGTAATTCATGCCCTTTTCATTTAGTTTCTTTTTTAATATGCAATTCAAGCTGTAACCCTGACATGAGGCTCTATCTGTAGGAGAGTCTACGAACCTTGATGCTGGTTTCACATGCAGCAATTCAATTTCTCAATGGTATGCATCTATCTCCACATTGAAACTCCCAAGTTCCAACTCCCACCTTCCATTATCATAGAATTTCACATGTTGACAATAAATGCTTGCAGGTATAACTTACAGTGTACCCGAGGAAGTGAAAGCTGCAGGCTTCCAAATTGGTCCAGACGAATTAGGATCAATAGTTGAAGGCCGAAGCTTGGAGAAGTTAAAAGCTCATGATGGAGTTGAAGGAATTGTGAAAAAGATTTCTACATCAACCACCAATGGAATATCTACTTCTGAGGAAATACTTAACAAAAGAAAAGACATTTATGGAATTAATCAATTCACAGAAAGCCCATCAAAGGGCTTCTTGGTTTACATATGGGAAGCTCTACAAGATACAACCCTCATGATACTCGGTTTATGTGCCTTTGTTTCCTTAATTGTAGGCATTACAATGGAAGGGTGGCCAAAGGGTGCACATGATGGTCTTGGGATTGTAGCAAGCATACTATTGGTAGTATTTGTCACTGCTACAAGTGACTATAGGCAATCTTTACAGTTCAAAGATTTAGATAAAGAGAAAAAGAAGATTAGAATTCAAGTTACAAGAAACGAATGCAGACAAAAGATCTCAATATACGAGCTTCTGGTTGGTGATATTGTGCACCTTGCTGTAGGTGATCAAGTCCCAGCTGATGGACTTTTTGTTTCTGGATTTTCACTACTGATAGATGAATCAAGTCTAACAGGTGAAAGTGATCCAAGAACTGTAACTATTGAAAACCCGTTTCTTTTATCTGGAACTAAAGTTCAAAACGGATCATGTAAAATGGTTGTTACCACTGTTGGAATGAGAACCCAATGGGGGAAACTAATGGCAACTTTAAGTGAAGGTGGAGATGATGAGACTCCATTACAGGTTAAACTTAATGGAGTAGCCACAATTATAGGGAAGATTGGACTCTTTTTTGCTGTTATTACTTTTGCTGTTTTGGTTCAAGGATTGTTTGTAAGAAAGATGGAGGAAGGATCCCATTGGACTTGGAATGGCGAAAATGCCCTTGAGATGTTGGAGTATTTTGCTATAGCTGTCACCATTGTGGTTGTTGCAGTTCCCGAAGGACTACCCTTAGCTGTGACATTAAGTCTTGCATTTGCCATGAAAAAGATGATGAATGATCGTGCCCTTGTTCGTCATTTGGCAGCTTGTGAAACCATGGGATCTGCTACTAATATCTGCAGTGATAAAACTGGAACCTTGACTACAAACCACATGACACTTGTGAAAGCTTGGATTTGTGGAGAAATAAGAGAAGTCAACCATGGGGTGTCGACTTTTTGCTCTACAATTTCCGATTCTGCCCTCGGATTGCTCATTGAGTCGATTTTCAACAATACAGGAGGGGAAGTGGTGAAGACTGAAAACAACAAGACTGAAATTCTCGGAACACCAACCGAAACTGCCCTTTTGGAATTCGGCCTCATGCTTAAGGAAAAACAAGTGGAGATTCAAAAGTCAAAGCTGGTCAAAGTGGAACCGTTTAACTCTGAAAAGAAGCGTATGGCTGTGGTTTTGGAACTCCCTGGAGGGTATTTTCGGGCACATTGTAAAGGTGCTTCTGAAATAATCTTGAGAGCATGTGATAAGGTTTTGAATGGGAATGGTGAAGTGGTTCCTCTTGATGAAGAATTAAACAATCATTTAAAGGATACGATTGAAGTATTGGCTAATGAAGCTCTTAGAACTCTTTGCCTTTGTTATAAGGAATTGGGAAATGAATTCCATTCCAAAGATGAGATTCCATTTAAGGGGTATACTTTGATTGGGATTGTGGGAATTAAGGATCCTGTTCGTCCAGGTGTGAAGGAATCTGTTGCAATTTGTCGATCTGCAGGGATTACTGTGCGTATGGTTACAGGTGATAATATAAACACAGCAAAGGCAATTGCTAGAGAATGTGGGATATTAACTGATGATGGATTAGCCATTGAAGGTCCAGATTTTCGTGAAATGAGTGAAGAGGAGTTGCTTAAAATTATTCCTAAAATTCAGGTATTTGCTTCTTTACCCAATAATAGCAAAAGCCATCCAAATCCAAAGCAATTTTCACTGATATAATTTCAATTTGAATACAAGGTTATGGCTAGATCTTCTCCAATGGATAAACATACACTTGTGAAGCACTTAAGAACCACATTTCAAGAAGTGGTTGCTGTCACAGGAGATGGCACAAACGATGCTCCAGCACTTCATGAAGCAGATATTGGTCTTGCAATGGGAATCGCAGGGACAGAGGTACAAAAATATTAAACTTAAATTCAATATATGGAGTTTATTTATTTATTTATATTTATATTTATATTTTAAATATTCAGGTGGCCAAAGAGAGTGCTGACGTCATCATTTTGGATGATAATTTCTCTACAATTGTGACTGTTGCGAAATGGGGTCGATCTGTTTATGTCAACATTCAGAAGTTTGTTCAGTTTCAGCTGACTGTCAATGTTGTTGCCCTAATAGTCAACTTTTCTTCTGCCTGTCTCACAGGTAAATAACTAAATATCATTTACAGGATACAAAAATTAAGTTTTTGTGAAAAAGTCTATTAAAAAAATAATCTTTTCAGGAAGTGCACCTCTGACAGCTGTCCAGCTACTATGGGTGAACATGATAATGGACACATTAGGAGCACTTGCATTAGCCACAGAACCACCAAACGATGAGTTAATGAAACGATCACCAGTTGGAAGAAAAGGCAACTTTATAACAAACGTCATGTGGAGAAACATCATGGGACAATCCTTATACCAATTCATCGTAATTTGGTTCCTTCAATCACAAGGAAAAACCGCCTTCAACCTCAACGACTCCGACTCCGACTCCGATTTACTTCTCAACACACTCATCTTCAACACCTTCGTCTTCTGTCAGGTTACATAATCACCCCCTCAATCTTTCAAACTTCAACGCATCTCACCCTTGTTAATTTCTTTATTGTTTTTCGCACAGGTGTTTAATGAGATAAGCTCTAGAGAGATGGAGAAGATTGACGTGTTGAAAGGAATATTGAAGAACTATGTCTTTCTGGCTGTTTTGACTGCGACTGTTGTGTTTCAGATCGTTATTATCGAGTTTTTGGGTACTTTTGCAAACACGACTCCTCTTAGTCTTCATCAGTGGTTTGCTAGTGTTGCTATTGGTTTTCTGGGTATGCCGATTGCTGCTGGTGTCAAGATGATACCTGTTTGATCGAGATAGGAAAAGGACTGTTTTGCCCCTTGTGGTGTGTAGGATATTCTCATACGACTCAAAAATTGAAGGGCTATTAAGAATACAAATTTTGTAAGAATTGTTGTCGTTTTATGGACTGTGTTTGGTAACTAAAAGTAGAAGAATGTTCATTGAATTTATCACTTTTTTCTTTTGTAATTTGACATGTCGGATATTATAATTCAGTATTTTTCAATGCTTTCATTTTATCAACTTTTTTCTTAATGAACTTAAGTGGAAAAAAGTTTATTTTGGTTAGATATATGTATTATGTATGGATTTTGTTTTTTAAATGGGAAAAATGAGACATAGGAGGCTTGTATTTAACAATTATAACATTCTCAATCCAAAATTTTAAGTTAATAACGTTTATCAAATTATAGTTATCTGTTTATGACTGAATTTGTATAATTGTTTCTTACAAATGTATTTTTCTTAAAGTATTCCATTATTTTTTTATTTTTGTATTTCGTAATTTATAAATACAACTGTTCACAAACTGATAGTTATTTTTTATTAATTCAGAAAAAAAAAGATAAAATGGTTATTAATGATTTATTCACCCTGAAGATAGAATTTGTTCGTACAACATATTTTTGAAAATAAAATATCATTGCTTTAAACAATACCTCATCAAAAGAAAACAAATATTTTACCCATTATTAAGATCTGATTAACAATTACGGAGTATATATTAACTCGTATAAGGCTAGTGGGTGTGGCATTCGGTTTCCGTTCGGTTACTTCGGCGAACACCGGGCAGAGCTCTTGACATGCTAAGCTCAGCTCGGCAACTTGGTGAGGACGAACACATGTGAGTTTTTTTTAACCAATTTATTATTTCAACCTTTTTTTCAAAAATTACCCTCTTTCCAATAAATACCTAATTTAAAAAATATAACTGTTTTTTTCTAAAATTTCAAATTTTAAACCTTTAATCTTCAACTATAAATACCCTTATCCTTATTCACTCTTCACCCTATTCAGATCTCTTTAATTCTATTCTCTGAACTTTCTTATTTTTTCATTCTTTTCTACACCTCATCACAAAAAATGACTATTGATCGGTCGATTGAAGAACAAATCTTACTCGCTCATTCATTGATTGATGTAGCAGACGATCCCCACCACAGTGACTACCCTTCGACTACTTTTTGGAGTAGAGTTGCCGAAATATACAACCGTCAAACCCTTCAACCACGAAGAAAAGATCTACTCTACGCCAAATGGAGAAACGCACATACACTAGCAACTCGGTTTACTATTGTGTTTCGTAGGGTGATGAATGATGCCGGAAATGGTGAAACCAAAAATATTTTGCTAAAGAATACTTTTGAGGCTTACCGTGCTGAAACTGACAAATATTTCAAGGTTGTTGAGTTTTGGTAAATTGTGAGACAAAGCCTCAAATGGCGTGATGTTTGAATTTCTAGTGTGATGTGTCTGAAATTCTAGTATTCTTGTGATATATTTAATGTCTATTTTTTTTGTTAAAATTTTAGCGTGATGTTTTTTTTTAGTGTGATTTTTTTATTTATAATTTCTATGTTTGTTTTAATGGAATTTAAGTTTAAAAAAAAAATAATATGTTTGCAGTATTTATTTTCTAAATTAATTAAAGATAATATATATTTAGCATGACAATTGTGGCGATCCGCGCCTAGTAAATGTTAAGTTTTGGCAAAAATGACATGATGCCTATGTGGACTGTAGCAAGTGTAGCACCACATGCACAACCTAATCAAATGGCTGCTATAAAGTGCCCTTAATATTTTATCGAATTCAACCAGAATTTATGGATTACATATACAATGAAGTAAGTTTGACCAATTTAACTTCGAAAAGCTACACCATACACACGACTTCTTCTAAATCAGACCTAAGCACAAATTGGGTGGAATGACTTTATAATAATACATTAGCCCAAGAAATAGAAATGAAAAGTGTGACAACCGTCAAATTCTGGTCAATTCAAAGGCAAATAAAGTCAACAAGTCAAACCGGTCAGCTCAACTAACCCTTGTGTACTTGGACTTACGTTCAGTATTTACTAAACAACCCAATATTCTAATAAGAAAACATGAATCGAAAAGTACGTACAACTAGATCTCGTTAACCTAAAAACTGTAGTACGTGGCGAGCCAAACTGATAAAACAATGATGCATACTCATCGGGAGTGTGTAAGATCCTTAAACAAGGCTTAACAGGGTTTACGAACCATGCATTGCGATGCCGGACACTCACAATTGTCACCCATGGATCCTCTCTCAATCGTTTTCACTCTATCTCTCTCTATGTCAAATCTCTCCCAAATCTCTCCAAGTATGTGAAATCTCTCTCAAATATCTCTTTGTATGAGAAATCTCTCCAAGAATGTCAAATCTCTCCCAAATCTCTCCAAGTATGTGAAATCTCTCTCAAATATCTCTCTGTATGAGAAATCTCTCCAAGAATGTCAAATCTCTCCCAAATCTCTCCAAGTATGTGAAATCTCTCTCAAATATCTCTCTGTATGAGAAATCTCTCCAAGAATGTCAAATCTCTCTCAAATCCCTCCAAGTATGTGAAATCTCTCTCAAATATCTCTTTGTATGAGAAATCTCTCCAAGAATGTCAAATCTCTCTCAAATCCCTCCAAGTATGTGAAATCTCTCTCAAATATCTCTTTGTATGAGAAATCTCTCCAAGAATGTCAAATCTCTCCCAAATCTCTCCAAGTGTGAGAAATCTCTCCCAAATCTATCTCAAAAGTTTCCCGTAACTTTTTGGAATCATTCGGGTCATTCCGGCCCTTAACCGGGTCAAAAACGGCTTAAAACGGGGCGAAAACGAGAAAAATAGGCTTTAGGAACCGAAACCGGAATGAGAGGCTTCTTAGGACCAGAGACCGAGCCTCTGGTGGCTAAGAGACCAGAGACCGAGCCTCTGGTGGCTAAGAGACCCGAGACCAACCGAGCGATCGGTCCCTCTCGGTGCCTCTCGGTCCGCCTCCACTCTCGGTGCCTCTCGGTCCGCCTCCGCGCTCGGTTCCCTTTCTCTCCTCTCGGTTCTCTTCGCGCGCTCGGTTCCCTTTCTCTCCTCTCGGTTCTCTTCGCGCGCTCGGTTCCCTTTCTCCCCTCTCGGTCCCTTCCCTTCTCTCTTCTTCTTCTCTCGGTTTCTGCCTCCCTCTCTCTCGGTTCAGCATAAGAGGGCCGAGCCTCGGCCAGATTTCGCATTTTTGTCACTTTTAGCCCATTTTTGATATTTTTAACATTTTAAGCCCGTTTTTCGTGATTTTAAAGCGAGATTTTCTCCATAAATTATATTTTAACATAATAAACTCTAAATATTCATAATTTAAACATATTTTGATGAAAATCATTATTTAAATAATAAAGATCTAATGGGGGATTTATTTAAGGTAGAGTGTTGACTTTGCCTTAACTTATGACACAAGCAACCACCCCACACCCACTCTATGACCAGCCATACCTCCCCACCTTACCTATGTCACTTCAATGTTCCCTTACACTCAAATTTCACTCACTCCCACGTTTTTGAGCTGGAACAAACAACCACACTCCTCAATTTCTCTCATTTCTCTCATTCCACAAAGTAACAAACACCACTTTTTCTCTCAAACTCTTCTACACAAATTTTCGAGATCCAAGGCTGATTTCAAGTGTTCTTCCACACTTAGTAAGTAAAAATTCATCCTCCCTATTATTATTTCACTTCATTCTACTCAAATCTTTGGTTGCTTACACAAACTCCCTAACTATGATGTTAGATTCTCGAAAACCTTCAAGGCATCTCCAAGTGTTCTTGAATTAAACACTTCCATTCTTCAACAATCATCTACTGAAATCACTTAAGGTGAGTTCATACCCCTACATTTTCATGTTTTCTCAAGTTTTCAAGGGGGGAATACAAGTTAAAACACTAAGAACACATCTAAAATTTTCTAACAGCCTTCATCAGAAAAGTTCAACTCCATTCACGGACTGTTTTGGGCATCGTAAATATTTTTGTTTTCAAAACTGTACAAAGTGCAAATAGTTCAAGTTTTTAGCTTTAAAATGGCTACTTGCACATCTCCATACGATTTTTCTACAATTTATGGTGATTTTTACAAAACTGCCTATCATTTCAAACAACAATCCGGACCAGTCTGTGATTATGGACTTTTTCACCCAAGTTAGAGGTCATATTAATTTGTGATAAAAATTATGAGCAAACTAGACACATTTTGTGAACTCTCAGAATTTACGGATCTAGTTTTCGACTTCGTATGATTTTTCTATGATTTTTCCAAAACAGGGCAGAATTGCTAAATTTTGCCAACAGCATGTAAATATCATAACACTTTGTATTATGTTGAGCAAAGTGTATAATCATAAGTTTTAGTATTTGAATGTGTTTCCTTGTTAGTTTATCATTATGAACTAAAACTAAGACATTCATAGAAAATATTATTCATTCATTTTGGAACACGTATTATTAAACTATAAAAAGTATAGTTTGATAAAATTCACAACACTAATACATTTCCATAAAAGAATTCATACATATTACATACATTTTAGATAAACTATAATAGGTATAGTTTATGATACATCACTCTACGCACTCGTACAAGAAGTGTACATTCATATAAGAAAGATTTCTATTCGCACACATTTCACGTAAGTTAATCTATGGTTTGATAAATTCACAACACTAATACATTTCCATAAAAGGATTCATACATATTACATACATTTTAGATAAACTATAATAGGTATAGTTTATGATACATCACTCTACGCACTCGTACAAGAAGGGTACATTCATACAAGAAATATTTATATTCACACACATTTAACGTAAACTTGTTATCCTATATTGTGAGTTTCTCTATTTTTTTCTCTCTCTCTCTCTCTCTCTCCCCGCACGTCCGAGTGCGGGATATAATTCCTGGTAGTTATAATCAGAATCTCCTGGAGGGAGAACGTGATACTTGTATATAGATCTATATTGGGATTGACACCCCACACCTTGCTGCTAGCTACAGTTGGACCTGCAGGTCTACGGGTGACAAATGTCATTTTATTTTTCGCGACACTGAGAACGTCGTGGCAGGTTCACATAGTCATAGTATGATTATAACGGCTCACATAGGGAACAATCCATAAGTTTACGGGATTTTATTTTTAAAACCTAAATGAGTTTTATGTCGATTTAAAATCACCTTTTATCTCTATGGGTACAAATACAAAGTGTCGGGTCTCTATACAAAGTTATTATGATATTAAAACTATATTTCCTCTAGAATTGTT